TAAGATACAAAAACATTAACTTATTCAAAACCAAGGTCAACGATTTTTCATTGACATGAGGTTTTTGAGAAAGTCACTTCACCACCAAACTCCAATGAACTGAAGACATAATTTAGCTCCTATTTTTTTTTTTCAGCCCCCCAAAATGCAGAAAGCTTCACATCACTGAGACAGGATGAGACCAGCATCACTCTGCAGTGGGATGTTGTCAATAACAATGTCAGCTTCATCCTCCAATATAATGAAACAGAGTTGAATATAACACCACCTGCTGGACAACAACCATTACTTCTGACAGTTTCATCTCTCACTCCTGGAACCAGATACACATTCACTCTCTTCTCTGTGTTTGAGAGCATCAGAAGCAGTGGAGTCAGCATTGCTGCAGTGACTGGTGAGAGATTTATTTTCATCAAACTTTCAAAGAAAACTTTACTTAGAAGTTGATTTTGGAGGAATGTAACTTAATATATGATTTTTATCACCTTTGAGAGACTGTGAAATAACTTCAACTGCAAGAAGAGCAACATTATTTCTGGAGACACAATCAATGACTCTATGTTGAATCTTTTCTAAATCTCATTTTGTTCTCAGCTCCTGAAAGTGCAGAGGGCTTCAGAGCATCAGGACAAAATGAGAGCAGCATCACTCTGCAGTGGAATAAAGGAGACAACAGAACCAGCTTTGTTCTCCAGTTTAACGGGTCAGAGACAAACATCAGTTCACCAGATGGAGATGGACCAGTGACACATACAGTCACATCTCTCACTGCTGGAACCAGATATACATTCATACTCTACCATGTGTTTATGAATGTTAGAAGCAGGGCTGTAAACATCACGGTTGCTACTGGTAAGATAACTGTGAGCTTAACATTAAACAATGTTTGTTCTACATCTCCTTTATATTACTTCAAGCATTTTATGTAAAAATAACCCTTTAGCTCACCAAGACTTTTTATGGAAGTCACATGAGGTAAACATTTATGTTTTTGTCTCAGCTCCAACAAATGTCGAAGGTTTGAGAGCATCAGATCAAGATGAGAGCAGCATCACTCTGCAGTGGAATAAAATCAACAACAGCACCAGCTTTGTTCTCCAGTTTAATAGATCAGAGACATTCATCAGTTCACCAGATGGAGATGGACCAGTAACTCACACAGTATCATCTCTCACTGCTGGAACCAGATACACATTCACTCTCTTCTCTGTGTTTGAGAGCATCAGAAGCAGTGGAGTACAATTTCAAGCTGTTACTGGTAAGGATTTTAACATGACTCCTGTATGATGTTAAATAAGTATTTCTGTAAAGATCTGCAAATGAACTTATACATATTTAATAGTGATTGAGGACTATGAAGAGGATGCTGAATGACTAAAATGGAAGATAAAACTCTCCTCAGTTCATCAAGTTCTAATACAACATAAATGAAATTAGTTAATTTTACAGAAATAAAATATATTTAACAGCAATCGAGAAGACCCAGGAGAAATGACATATTAGCATAGCAGCTCAATAGATGTTAGATTGAAGACTATGCATCTTTAAATCAGCAATAAAACCATCAGGTAAACCAAAGTTATCAGCCTACTAATGAATTCTTCTATTTTAGCTCCTAGAAACACAGAAGCTGTGAGAGCATCAGGTCAAGATGAGAGCAGCATCACTCTGCAGTGGAATAAAATCAACAACAGCACCAGCTTTGTTCTCCAGTTTAATGGATCAGAGACAAACATCAGTTCACCAGATGGAGATGGACCAGTGAACTACACAGTTTCATCTCTCACTGCTGGAACCAGATACACATTCACTCTCTTCTCTGTGTTTGAGAGCATCAGAAGCAGTGGAGTACAATTTCAAGCTGTTACTGGTAAGGACATTAATTTTATTACTGTATCGACAACAAAACCAATCTGTCCAATTTTTTGTACTTCACTAAATGGAACCTTTAAGCTTTTGAAGGAGAATAAATTAACAACACATCTATGAAGAAATTGTTGAAATTGCTCTATCTTTTGTATTTGGAGCAAACAGTGATCAAACAGAACATTGAGTAAGCAGGGTTGATAATGTGAAAGAAAGAACTCAGTGATTTCCTAATAAATTTATATTTACATATATATCCTGTAGATGAAAAGACACTTAAGTCATATATGCAAACATTTAATTTGGACAATAGAGAAAATTCATTAAATTCAATTATAGAAGTTTCTTCTTTGTATGATTTTTAACATCATGTTGCAAGTCACACTGATATATTAACATCTCTATTGATTCAGAGAGAAAACCTCAAAATAAACTGCTCTCTCAACTTTATTTTATGCATTAGTATTTGAACATAACAGTATGATTTGCTTTACTAGATTTCATGTTGTTATTTAAGAAGTGGACTAAAAACTAAATAATGACTTGTTTTGAATTTATTGAATCAGATATTACGATTGTGAGACACATCAAACCATCATCACAATATATTTTGGAGATGCTATCATTTGGAGGATAAATTGTGAAGAAATTTGACTATCTTTCCCTCTTGTCTCAGCTCCTGAAAATGCAGAAGCTGTGAGAGCATCAGATCAAGATGAGAGCAGCATCACTCTGCAGTGGAATAAAATCAACAACAGCACCAGCTTTGTTCTCCAGTTTAATGGATCAGAGACAAACATCAGTTCACCAGATGGAGATGGACCAGTGAACTACACAGTCTCATCTCTCACTGCTGGAACCAGATACACATTCAATCTCTTCTCTGTGTTTGAGAGCATCAGAAGCAGTGGAGTACAACTTACTGCTGTCACTGGTAAGATAAAAATATGTTAACTTATTCAAAACCAAGGTCATCNACAGAAGCTGTGAGAGCATCAGATCAAGATGAGAGCAGCATCACTCTGCAGTGGAATAAAATCAACAACAGCACCAGCTTTGTTCTCCAGTTTAACGGCAGAGAGACATTCATCAGAGCACCAGATGGAGATGGACCAGTAACTCACACAGTTTCATCTCTCGCTGCCGGAACCAGATACGCATTCACTCTTTACGCTGTGTTTGGCAACGTCAGAAGCAGTGGAGTACAACTTACAGCTGTCACTGGTAGGAAACAAACCTTCATTAGCATTTTAACAACAAAGCCAAACTCTCACTCCAGAGATTACAAACCTGGGTAAATGATTCTTGTTTTACTCTTAATAGAAAGAAAACATTTGCTTTCCAATAAAGAATCATTATTACAGTCCTTGCATATTCAGATCAATGGGGACTCTGCTGAACAAGTATCACAAGGAAAATATTTAGGAATAATGTTGATAAGATCAGCAAAACTGTTAGATCAAATATAAACTGTTTTAAAATTATTAGACATTGTCTAACACTTCTCTTTGCAGACATGTTCTTCAACTCAATGATCCTATCGCGTTTGTCCTATAGACTGTCTGGTCACAGACTAGTCAAACTCAAACCATTAGAGAGTCTCTATAATTGGACCTTGAAGGTTTCCAAGAGCCAATCAGATTGTGTATATTTTGTGAACATTATATTGTGCTATTTTAAATGATTATTACTTCATTTTCTACTGATTTTAAGATGTACTGTTTAAAGTCCATCTAGGGAAAAGTGCTGCGAATTAGCTGTTGCTATAAACAATATGATGCAAACATGGAACTGCTGATCTGTTCAGTTTGTGTATGTAAATGTGTGTCTGTCCCTATGAAATACATTTAAAATATAATCACTTCACAATTTATTTACTTGGTGACCATTCGGACAGCAAACTTCGAATAAACTGCTCTCTGATCTTTATTGTTTTACCTTCCCATTTGAATACAACAATATGTTTTACTTTACCACATTTATTTTCTTATTTACAAATTTGGGGAAAAAAATTACTTGATTTGGATCTTTTAAAATTGAAATAAGTTTTTTGTTTAAAATTGTGGGACCTGTTTCATAATCATCATCACAAACATTTTTTAAATGTTATCTATTATAGGATGAAGAATTTGAAAAAATAAATTCACTTTTTCCCATGATTTTTTTTTCTCAGCACCTAAAAATGTCGAAGGTTTGAGAGAATCGGATCAAGATGAGAGCAGCATCACTCTGCAGTGGAATAAAATCAACAACAGCACCAGCTTTGTTCTCCAGTTTAACGGATCAGAGACATTCATCAGTTCACCAGATGGAGATGGACCAGTGAACTACACAGTCTCATCTCTCACTGCTGGAACCAGATACACATTCACTCTCTTCTCTGTGTTTGAGAACATCAGAAGCAGTGGAGTCAGCATTGCTGCAGTGACTGGTGAGAGATTTAGTTTAATCAAAGCTTCAAAGAAAACTTTACTTAGTAGTTGATTTTGGAGAAATGTGACTTAAGATCTGAATGAATCACCTTAGAGAGACTGTTAAGTGGAATAACTTACATTGTAAGAACAGCAAAATTATGTCTATAGACACAATCAGTGACTGTAATCAAATTTTTTCCTCTCAGCTCCTGAAAATGCAGAGGGCTTCAGAGCATCAGGACAAAATGAGAGCAGCATCACTCTGCAGTGGAATAAAGGAGACAAAAGCACCAGCTTTGTTCTCCAGTTTAACGGCACAGAGACAAACATCAGTTCACCAGATGGAGATGGACCAGTGAACTACACAGTTTCATCTCTCACTGCTGGAACCAGATACACATTCACTCTCTTCTCTGTGTTTGAGAACATTAGAAGCAGTGGAGTACAATTTGAAGCTGTTACTGGTGAGGATTTAAATACATTAATTTATTCAAAACCAAGGTCAACGATTTTTCATTGACATGAGGTTTTTGAGAAAGTCACTTCACCACCAAACTCCAATGAACTGAAGACATAATTTAGCTCCTATTCTTTTCTTTCAGCCCCCCAAAATGCAGAAAGCTTCACATCACTGAGACAGGATGAGACCAGCATCACTCTGCAGTGGGATGTTGTCAATAACAATGTCAGCTTCATCCTCCAATATAATGAAACAGAGTTGAATATAGCACCACCTGCTGGACAACAACCATTACTTCTGACAGTTTCATCTCTCACTGCTGGAACCAGATACACATTCATACTCTACCATGTGTTTATGAATGTTAGAGGCAGGGCTGTAAACATCACTGTTGCTACTGGTAAGATGTAATGTAATTTGTTTATTATGTACACGTATGTATTATCTAACACATTTTATAGTGCATCTTTAACACCTTATCAGTAAGACATGGGTGCTTGTATCCTTTTTGCTTCTGTTAAAATCTGTTAAGATATGTCTAGCATGGATTTGTTTCAGTCTGAAATCAGGGGCGTACTATGTAAAATCATAGTCTTTTTAGCTTTGGATTGTGTTATAATGTTATTCCACCATCAAGACCTTATGGATGGTTGCTTTGAGTCTTTCCTGCATTTTTGAGGAACCCTGGAATCTTTGGTGGCAGCCATTCGGGGTACC